GGCAGCCACAGCTTCTCTGGGCAACCTGGGCCAGGGCCTCCCCACCCTCCCAGCCAGGAATTCCTTCCCACTATCCCATCTGTCCCTGCCTTCTGGCAGTGGGAAGCCATTCCCTGGGTCGTGTCCTTGTTCCAGGAAGGTGGAACTCCCTGCAAAGAGCTGTGAGCGGGAAGGGATGGGAATGAAGATCCCGGTCCTTTTCCAGGCAGCCACAGCGTGGCAGCAGAGGCCACGCGGGCGGTGCCGGGGAAGGATCCCCCGAGCTCCTCCAGCCGGGACAGAGGGAGCAGGACGGGCACGTGAGGGCCCCCAGGACCAGGGGACCGGCCCCCCAGGACCAGGGGACCTGCCCCGGGCCCACCCAGCAGCGCCCCGGTGTCCCGGGCACAAGGAACACCGGGCAATTCCCTTTCTTCCCAGGAAACGCGGGGCTCAGCGTTGCAGCCAAGGGCAGGAGCTGCCGGGGGCTCCTTCCCGTGACCCCCCAAAGCTTTGCTTTGCCGAAGCACCGGAGCCATCGTGTTTTGCAAAGGAATCTCGGGATGCTCCCAGCCCGGCCGGTGCCTCCCAGAGCCCGGTGCTTGTGAGGGTTTATTGGGTTGGACACCAATCCCAGTAAAGTGCAGAGCAGGGCCCCCGGTCCCAGCCCCCTCAGCTCCGGGGGGCCGCGGGGCCCTTCCCGCCGGCGCGGGGGGGCTGTGGCAGCAGCTGAGGGTCGAAGCTGTGGCGCAGGTACCGCTGGATCTCCTCGGCACAGTCCCGGCTCAGCCGCGCGGCCGCGGCCACCGCGCTGGGGGAGCTGCAAGAGAGGGCAGGGGGTGAGCGGGGCCCTGGATACGCTGGATACACCGGATACAGCACCGAGAACACCCCGGGCTGCCCCGAGCACACCCTGGCGAGGCTGGGGAAGTGCAGGGAAAACGGGGAATGGCAAAGGGAAAGACGCGGTGGGGCGGCAGGAGGGAGGGTGAAGCAGAGCCCGTGCCAGTGCCCGGGGCTGCTCAGTGGGAGAGACGGGAAGGCATAAAGAGCTGGGATGAGACTGGGACAGGAAAGCTCCTGGGAGCCGTGGCAGGGACAGAAAGGATCTCTCCAAGCAGCTCTCCCAGCAGGAAAGGCACAGCAGGAAGGATCTCCCTGAACAGCTATCCCAGCAGGAAAGGTGCGGGGAAAGATCTCCCCAGCTACTACAACTGGAAAGGTGCAGGAAGGATGGCCCTGGGAATCGATCCCGGCAGGAAAGGTGATGAAAGGAATCCTGGGAGCAGCTCCCCCAGCAGCAATGGGGCAGGCAGGCTCTGTCCCCCTGGAAGGTGCAGGCAGGCTCTCCCAGGCAGAGCCCAGGCCCAGGCAGGCCCAGGCAGCCCCGGGGTGTTGTTACCTGTTGGCCAGGTCACGGGGGCAGCCGAGGCAGTGGCAGAGCTGCAGGGCCCCCACGTAGCTGAGGGGGGGGATGCTCAGGTAGAAGCCCAGCAGGTCCCGCCGGGGCCCCTCCAGCTCCGTGGGAACATGGATGGCAGCTCCCTTCCTGTGCTCCAGCAGGGCCAGGTCCCTGAGCAGAACAGCAGTCTCCTGCTGGCAGGAGCTGAAGAGGATGCGGATGCCAGCCTGGACCAGGGCCGAGAGCACTCCATCGTAGTACTGAGTCCGCTGGAAACAACGGGACGTTTCTCCTGCAGAGGGAAGGACAGGAAGCATGGTGAAAATCCAGTGTGAGGACTCACAAAGCAAACCAGCTCCAGGATCCCTCACCCTGAGAACTCACAACCAGACACACAGGGAGGGAACACATCCTGGGCTGGACAGAGCTTGGAGCAACCTGGGATAGTGGGAGGTGTCCCTGCCCATGGCAGGGGGTGGAACAAGAGGAGTTTTGAAGTCCCTTCCAACCAAACCATTCTGGGATTCCATGAAATCAGGAGAGGTTTGGTAGAGCCACACAAGTACAAATGCACC